CAGCTTGGAGAAAACTATGAGACGGTGGCAGCTACTTAAGAAGAAAATTCAGCTGAAAATAAATGTACAAAGAATTTGGTTCAAAATTTCAGCAATGTGTTTTCCCCTTGTTACTCATTGCTTAGATAGTGAATAGAGTTAAAAGCTAGAATGCAGATTTTCCCAACTATTCCTTACATGAGTGATCATGACCATATTTTATTGCTTACGTTTTCTGGCAGTATCTGTAATTTCAGTCATGACGAACTAATACGACTTCTTTGAAATGTCATGTATTCTTCTCCATGGATTTAGCTAGAATTTAATACTAATATATAGCCACTTTCAATGTCAGCAAATAGCTAAAATACAATGTTGAGAAAATATCAGGAGCAGTAGCTATAATATTATTAGCATAAGCAACAATTTCCATCAACCAAGCACACACTTTTTTATTTTTTGTTTTTTAATTGGTAGCTTATGATAAAAAGATCTCTCCACTGAATTAAGCTCCTAACTAGCTTGCTCAATGAATGGGACAACTCACCATGCTAAAATATCTCAAAGCAAGCTTATTTTACATAAAAATTAAGAACAAATACAGTAAGCTTTCAGACAAAGGACAGTTGTCAGGTTCTTAGTATGTGGTGCAAAACTGTAATATTCTCTGTAGTGTTTTAGTTTTCTAATAAGTCACTGTGATAAGGTTAACACTTCAACATTGAACAACATACAAATAAGAACACCCAAAGATGAAAATTACTTTGCTTATGTTTCTGTATTAGAATTTTATTTGCTAAAGGGTGAAAACAGATTTTCAAAATTCACAGTTAACTTAAAACAATAGTTTTAAACCTTTTATTCCTAGCCCTGGCTGCCTTCAGGAAGGAAAGAACATCTGGTTATTTAAGGAACACAATATGTTCACATTTTCTATGACTTTTGTTTCTAATTGGGTTTTTTAATTTTTTTTTTTTATTTGAACAACTCTAGTTAGAATTATGTTTTTTAATCACTTTATATTTTTCCAATGCCCTATCTCCATATCTCTACTTCTTAATTTTGCTGCCTTTGCTGTGAAAATTAACAGTGCTCAATGATTTTGATAAGGAAAAAAACTAAAGAAAATGAGCCACTCGTGGTGTATTAAATATGCAGACACACACCTTCAGTGAATGTTTTTGGATATACATAAAAGAATCTTCCCTTATTTTTTCATTTCACATATATACAATTTTAATAGCCCATTCTTCCATAAGAAGCTCTACTTTTATATTCAGAAAGATTCTAAATGCGTAGAAGTTACTTTAATATAAATAATTGAGGCAATTATCTGTTCAAAGATTAGAAATGTGAAACAAATACTCTGCTAAGCAGGTTAACTTTATCACCCTATGCAAAGACAACAACACTGATTTGAGCTTTTCATTCCACATTTTCCTAAGAAGTGGAGCTAGCCAAATGCAGAAAAGGCTGAAATTCAATTATTCTGCATTGATCCATACTCATGCCTGCGAAATTAGTATCTCTCAGCCCCCCTCTCAGAGACAGGTGCATTAACTTGTTTTCAGCTATTACAGAGATGTGTTTTTCTCTTCTGTGGCACTGAAAAATATCAGAGATGTGGTATCTAAAATGTTCTCTCATCTCAGCTGCCAACTGGGGTTCCCAAAGTGATCAGGAGAGCTGCTGCAAGCATTAGGTTAATGGCAAGTACTAATTACTTTCTATATTATTTTTAATACTGGATAATGCTAAGGCTTGATTTCACAAAAGGTCAGGAAATTGCACTTGTCCATCTTTGAGAAAAAAATGCCCCCTACCTTTTAAGTACAGCTTGCTTCTGACATTTAGTCAACATCTCCTGGTGATGACTGCAGTGAAAGGAGGCAAACAAAATGCAACAGGTTCATCAAGCCTAAGTTTAGCTCTCCTGAGAGAGACTACATGACAAGAAGTAAGAAGGAAATACTTGTTATGTCAGAGCGAGGAAACAGAAAAAATCATAGATGTTTTTTATATATACAAACCCAGGTTATCTCCAGAATTGGAAGTTATAGATGGAAAAGTTGTATGAGGTTTAACATCTGATAACAAAAAACTCCACAATTTATGACAAGATTGTTCCTTAAGAACCTTTTAGTTTTATTCACCTACCTCCAACCTTTTTTAGTCCAAATACCCCACAACCTCCCCTCTTGTAAGATGACTTAGTATTTTCCTAGCTGCAAAAAATAATATGGAAGACAACATATATATCAGCAAACCTGCAAGTGGTAGATTCCTGTTTGCAACTGGCCATGACTTCTAAACTGCCATTTCTTGTCCAGCTGAAATTTAAAGCTTCAAGGTGCAGAGAGCAAGCCTCTCTCAGATATTTGGAACAACACTAAACATTCTTGGTATGTTCAACAAATAATGAAATAAGCCACTGGACCATGCAACAGTCTCCCAGAGAAGAGCTCCCTGATTTCACATTAAAACCCAAGCAAAGTCTTGGAAGAAATTCCATGCAGAAAAACTCAGCTCTGGATAAGGAGAGAAAAAATTGCACTGAACCAAATGTAATTTCCTATTAGAAACCAGAAGCTTGTGATGGAGAAATGCACAGGAAAACATCAAAGAAGGAAGAAAAATAATTAAGTACTGAATTTGTTAATCACCACTTACAAGTTGCACTACAGACTACTCTTTGTCATTTCTTCCAACCTGCTTTTATCTGCACAGGGAATAAGGGCAAACTGAATTATATCTATATAAATAGCACAAAAAAAAAGAGTATAATTTTCCACATATTTTTATATATAATCTGTGCTGTGCACTGACTTTACAACCTGCTTTTATCTGCACAGGGAATAAGGGCAAACTGAATTATATCTATGTAAATAGCAAAAAAAAAAAAAAAAAGAGTATAATTTTCCACTTATTTTTGTATATAATCTGTGCTGTGCACTGGACTCCTACAGCACCCATGATGCCTTGTTGAGTCTTCCTTTTCATTCCTTTTCATGAAAAATGTTGACAGATTTGGAAATGTTTGTGCATAGGTCTTAAAGAACAGCAAGACTTCCATTTGAGATATATAGAAAAAAGAGACTGAACAAACATATGCTTACAGACATCTAAGTGAAACCTAAAGTCACACCTAGGAAAAGGTAAGAAACAGGTATTCAAGTAATAGCCTTGAAAATACATTTATATCTCAGATCAGGAGCTATTTTTTAGTTTTAGAAGGATCCTTTAGAATGGTTTTATTTCCTTACTGTAAGAAGTCCTGATCTTTTTATGCAGCCTCACACAAAGAACCAGTGTAAAATTAGAGGTGGCTGCAAGTCCCTTAGGCTCTTCATTTTCTGGAAATCAGACCTTCTCAACATTCAGAGAATTTCCCAAGCAAAAAAGTACAGCTTAGAAATGAGAAACAATTGCATTTTATATTTTTTAAATTGACAAAGCAACTACCACTCTTTGCATCAAAGAGTTTCAAGTACTGATTCACCTGAGCAAATAACTACAGAACTACTACTACTACTACAGAAATCCAGTATTTATCAAGGCCCACCTGAGAATGTTAATTAATAGGGCATCAAGGCCTTGTAAGCCTGACAGCTTCATTCTGTTGGAGACAAGAGCATAAGGAGTGGAATAGTGATTAATCCTCTTTGTGGGAAGTTGGTGGTTAATTTTGGTCCCCTTCAGCTGATAGGATGTCTTGTATGCTGCCTAGCATGTTTCAGAGGACAGCTGAATAATTAGTAATCACTTTATTGTTTAACATATCTCTTCAATAAATGACAGATTACATATTGAATTCAGATGGATAACTGAGCAAAATTTTCCTCCCTTTGTATCTTTCTTCTGAAAAATATTTCTATCTTGTTTGCTATGGAAGTACATAAATAAATGCTGGGCAGTTTGATTTCACAGACTGCTGCCAAAATCTTAAGAAAGATTCCTGAGATCTAACGTTAGAAACTTTCTTACACACTGAAAAGATGATACACTTTACTTCTCATCATGAAAGAAATCTTTGTGCTTGAGAGGAATGAAAAAAACAGCTATAAGGATGCAGATTTCTGCAAAAAACTGATATACAAAAACAAAGAGACAATTTTTTTCTTAATCCATAAAAGTGTAAACACTGGTACTGAATGAAATGTTGCAGAAGGCAGTCAGAGTGCAGAAGTGATGAATTTTTTGCTTTCAAAGATGTTGCGCACCAAGAAGATGAGGGAAATCAGACTTTACACTGGCAGCCTACTAATGGGACATGTACAGAGACAGTTCAAAACCAGCAGCACAATTCTGCTATCTGCCAGAGATCTGAGTAAATACAGATTACTGTGTACAGCTGAATTTATCCACTATACAGTGAGTCTCTCCTGTATATTATACCCACACATATACATATGCCATTCTAAAACAGGAAGAGGTTTTCTTTCTTTTTTTAATAAATGAGTACATCAGAAACTGCATGCTAGTAATATTTGGCATGAATTTATGAATTTATACATATTATACATGTGAATCTTTACAGGCTGTAACATCAAACTCTTGTTTTTAATCAAAAACCATCACATAACCATTATATATTGGGCAGGGGTAGTGCTTTAAGGATTAACAGTGATTAATCTCAGAAATCCCATGAAAAAGGTCTTTCAGATGAAATTGCATGATGCTTTCTACACAGTTTACTAGGTTTTAAATAGTAACATTACTGTTTCCCTGAAAAGTATACTTTATCCTAAAAGATTCCTGAGCAAAATTATTCTATAGAGCACATTGCAGTTACCAGAGCTCCTGGATTACTTTAGCAAAGTGTCCTTTAAAGTATCCTTTAAAGAGTAAAGGAACTTGTTTCTACTCTGTTTCCAACTCTTTCCTTCAGCTCTTTTGTCAGGTGAGAAGAAACTCAAAACTAACATTTAGTTTCCAAAATGTAGGTTGTTATTAACTTCATAGCATTTAGAACATTTAATTACAGTGATTTATTTCCTGTATTAACAGAGCAAGCATCTCACCTTTGGATCTCGGAGAAAAAGTGCTCTTAGGATAAGGGAGTGAACGTCTCCAATAGGTGGATAATGCATCAGAAGTCCCAAACAGGTCTGATAATTACTTGAAATCACTAGAATTAAAATTAAAATAAGAGAGAGAGAGAGAGAGAGAGAGAAAATATTACTGTCTTACTTTGATATTCCAAAACAGTACTTTTTCCAGTAAATTCATTACAGCTCAGATCTGGCTGTCTTTTCCCAGAACTCAAGCAGTGCTCAGAGTAAAAGGAGATACACTTGGTTTAATATAATTGAGTTCTAAAAGTATGACTTCATGTTGTTGACACTTATGTTAGCTCCAGATTGAGATGCCTCAATTCAGACCTCTGTAGCTGTGCCCCCAAAACCTGCCCCAGTCAGTGCAGCTCAGGGGCAACACCATCAGCAGGGCTTGAAGAGCTAGTGCTGCAAAATGGACATGGACTTCTCAGATGCTCCTCCACAGACATCTAAATTTAAATGTGATAATTTGCATTTATGGCTTTATAATTTTGCCCCACTCTGATTATTTTTTGCAGAAATATCTTTTATGTTGTTCTTAAATACATATTTACATATATACACACACACGCACACTCAGATACCTATGCATACATACAATTATTCAATAACTCCTTGTTATCTTTTAAATCAGAAACTTCACAAAATATTCAGGAAAAAGGGAAAAGACTAGATTTTAATTTCATAATACTGAAAAAAATATAGTACAGCATTAACTTGCTTAGATTTTTTTTCACTTATTCAGAAAATTTTCAGCATGCTTTGCTAAACTTTATAATTTTGTTCTAATCTGTTTGATTTTATCTGAATCTATGTAAGCATACTCTATGGCTTTTTGCTTATTGTTGTCATCTTCTGGTTTTTTTTTCCTTTCCTTCCCAAATCAATCTAATTATGAGTGCAATTATTAAAGACATCTTTTCAAGCAGGTCTATGTAAACTACTTCATTTCTTTTGCACCATCTAAATCCAGGCAATCCATCTGCCACAGCTGTCAAAGCAATGCCTGTTAATGATGCCTCCACTCTGCAACATAAAGACACCTCCAACAATAGCAATTGTAAATACATTTCTAACAAACTTTACTATTCTGAGGACTTCAGCTATTGTAAGAAATACCTTTAATTAGTTGGGATGTTGCAAATACAAGATTATTTTGAATCAATAAAAAGCAAAATAAAGGGCAGTTTGTGGACAGAGACATTTAAATGGTTTACTTTTGTTTCTTTCATGTGAATAAGCCTCATATCCTCCTGCACCTTACCTCCCTCAACAAGAGGATTATGGGGAAAAGATGCAGGACTGGGCAAAATGAATAATTATAATCTGTGTAAGGAACCACTTTATCATCTTCATTTCCGTTGCTGATCCGACAGCTTGTAATTTCATACATCTGCTTTCATTTGTAAAGCACTCACTTATCCTACTCATTCTTTATCTGTTCTGCCTGTTCTTTTTCCTACCCTTTGTTTTTCTTGTTCATATTCAGGTACCTGCTTTTTCTTCTTGAAGTCACAAAGCTGGCATAATGAACACAATACAATGGCATCCGTCAGAGTTCTTTCAGAGTATAACACGAGCACCACACAGAACCCAATACCCAATCAAACTCTCCTATGTTAATCAAATTTTAGATACTGAACTGTGGTTGTGATCATGATGCCTTTTTACCAAAGCAAATAAAAACAGATAATATTGATATTAAATGCTAAATGGTTTTATAAATTACAGAAATTGAAGAGATAAGTATGTGTTCTATTCTGCAATGTAAAACGGATTAAAAATATATTTTCTTTATTTTTCCTGGAAGAGTTCTTTGCTGTCTCACAGATACAGAGAACACAAAATATTAAAAAAAACTGATTTATTTTAATGGTGCAGAGTTGACCCCTCTCTCAAAAAACCCCTTATCATCCAGAAAGTTAAAAAAAAATCCAGCACTTTAAGGGGAAGACCTGCTAACTTTTATATATGGGGTTTTTTACCTTCAGGGTTCCCCCCACATATTTCAACTGAAAGAGGGTAAATTTGAATTGGACATAAGGAAGAAATTCACTGTGGGGGTGGTGAATCACTGGCACAGGTTGCCCATAGATGTTGTTGATAACCCTGGAAGTGTTCCAGGTCAGGGTGGATGGGGCTTTGAGCAATCTGGTCTAGTGGAATATGTCTCTGCCCATGCCAGGGGATTGGTCTAGATGATCCCTGAAGGTCCCTTCCAACCCAAACCAATCTATGATTGTCTCTTCAGGAAAAAATGTGTAATATTATACAACAGAGGGCCAGTTTTCTTAAAAATTATAGATAAACAGCAGTAAACCAAAACTGAATATGCCTATTGGTGTTAAATGGATTTCTGAGAATCTTCTATAGGATGAAGTTTCTGGAAGGAGATTCTGTGAAATACAAATATCCAGTCTCAGCAGTAGCTGGTGTGTTCAGCTGCCTTGTAAAGAGCTTGGTGGTTCTTTGGTTGTGCTTTTCCTTCTCTCATTGGCTTAGTGAGAGTCACATCTGGATCCAGCTTCTACTGTGAACCACAAGTTCTCACTTCCCCAAATTAAAATGCCACTGGCATTTTTAGGGAAAGGAGGAGAGAAACTCATCTCCACAGAGAAAACAATCTTACTGTTCTTTTATTAATATTGCAATTCAGTGCCCAGAGGAACAACAAATTGCCTTCTCCCTTCTGCTGTAGAAGAGACTGAATTTTCTCTGTTGGCCCAATAACCACCCCTGGATACAAGCAGCAGTAATGTGGTGGAAAACTTCAAAATTCAGAGAACTGTCCTCAACAATGTCCAAATTTTCTGATACATTTAATTTCTTAGAAGTTTATTATTTGATGTCACTGATCCTGTATCCAGATTATTTCATAATCCTGGAAGGGTGGGATTACTCCTCCCTTCTGCTTTACACATGGCCAGGTTCTCCTTAATAGCCCCTAAACTGAGTTAAACATAGACAAATGAACATCTTGCACTATAACAAAAATAACTAATCAGTTCCTCTAAGAAGAAGCTATGGCTCCTTTATTTCTCTCAAAATATTCACAGTGCTTTTAGAGATGAACAACTAAGCTCTAACAATGGCCATACTTACTCCTCAAGTGGAAACAAGATAAAAATACACTTACTCTAATACTGATCAGTCAAAATTAACTCCTGGTTCAATAATGATGTGAATTTACTATACAAAATATAGACAGGTCTTCCAGGTTTGTTCATTCTTGTCTTCCTTGAAAGGAAGTAGATAAAATACAGGATGCATCACATCCTTCCCTCCATTCTGATTTTATCAACAACCTAATGTATATTCACACTGGTGAGAGAGAAGCAAATATTCATGCTTCTGATTTGACAGATTAAAAAAGAAAAACCAAATAACCCAAAACATTTTTGCAAGAATTCAAGAATTTTTTCCAAAGAAACACAGGAAATAATTTATTAAAACTTACAGCTACACTGGTACACAACCCTAAGCTTGGCGTGTGAGGATTATCACTCCACAACAAAGATCTGCTCGGATATAAATGTAAAACTGTACAGAGCAGTTTACAGAATGGCTGTGTACATGATTATGTGTCAGTAATCTCTAAAATATATAAGCAATAATCTGATAATCTAAAAGTTCCCTTCTCCTTGCATAATATATTGTTTGAGCAACAGAGGCTTTCAAAACTAAAATAAAAATGAGAAATATAGCAGAAATAAGTTTCTTAAAATCGTGTCCTTGAGAACATCATAATAGAGCACAGAAAAAAAATTCATCAATTCTCAAACCAGCAACTTTCACCCATCCCCAAATGTGTTGTTTTAAAAGAATCAGCACAATTTCTAAACTTTCAAATGCTTTGAGTGCTGTATTATTATAATTGCTTATATTTGACATTTTCATAACATAATATCGCAGGAGCTTTATTATTGTTCTTATTGTTTCAAAGTTTCTAAACTAAAAATTTCCCGATGGTTTATTTAAAGATGATTATCACCATTGGATGTTTTGAGCTTATGTTTCCTTTCACCAAATAAAGAGAAGCTTTTATAAACTTACTTTATTTGAAAATGTTTTTAAAATTACTACAACTTTGAACTCTGTTCAAAGCTCAAATATTATCAGCAATAAAAATCATGAGGAAAACCAGAAAACTTTCTGTTACAGATATATAACAAAACGTTTTTTTATGCAATCAAGAACTGTGGAAATTGTTACAGCGTGAACTTTACTTTTGAAAAATAGATTCAACTTTACAGTATTTATGACTTTGCTTACTTCATTATGCTTAGAGTAACTAACTAGGTCCAGCTATAGAACAATAAGTTACTTATTACAGAAACAGTCAAAATATGAAGTATTAGCTGTCCTGATGAGATGACTTTCCCTCTCATTTGGGTAAACTGCACTGCAAATCTATTTACTACTCTATTTACTAAGCTTTTCCTTAGGGAAAAGGAGACTGATTCCATACAAAAGCCTGGAACACATTTTTAGTTCACATATTAGTTAACTCATACTGATACTTGTACCCCAGCAACACAATCCAAAAGAAAACAAAGCCAGAACAACTTTCCCTCCCCAAGAAGAGAGAGGCTTCTTAGAAGCACAGTTCTAATGTGCTGGTTTTTTCAAAGGTAAGCAGTGACACGAAATAAAATATTGATGCTAAGAAACTTTCTTACATGCCTCTTCAGAACATATCTCTACCAAAAATTTTAAATTACTTCAGTTTACTGAATATAAACAAGCAAGATATAGACTGCAAAACATAATGACTTGTAATCAGATCATCCTGAAACATCAGCATTAATTTTGAAACCTCTGACCAGAATTAAACGTCCATTTTTTTGAGAGGAATGAAAGGTAGCTCTATATTCTGCATGTTTGTTAAAAAGTAATTTAAAAACACATGAAGGCAGCCAGAGGAACAACATGTACGTGTAAAGTACCACATTATATTTTCAAGACTGGGCCCTAAAATAGGAACCACAGATGTTGAAAACTTCCTATGTCCTAGAATACAAAATTATGTCAAATATGTGACCTTGTTATAACCTAAAGCTTACAGTATGGTATATACTTAACTCTGAATAACTTGCTATAGAATTCATATACTTAATGACAGCCATACATCTTGCTGTGAAACACATACTTTGTTGCATCAGTTGCATACACAATTTTTTACAGAATCTGATAGGACAGAAATAAATACCTCAATTATTATTATATATCTTTCTCCTCCCATTTACAATTATATAAGCTAACAAAATTTTCTTGGTTGCTTCCTTGTCCCAACTTAATATTATTTGTCATCACTAAATTATAAGAATTCACCTGTCCACAAATTTCAGGTGTACTGAACCGAAATAAAATAAATCAATATTTTTAAGATGCCCCTCTTGCACAGAATAAACATACTCAGTGATTTCTACTCATCTTTGTTTTTTATTCATGATATCTCTTCCAAAATTGTGAGCCATTGTCTTGTGCATTTTCTTCTTTCTCACAGGGGAACAGCATAAAAATATTTCAAGTGTCACAGGGAAGCTTTACTTAATTCATGAGCTTCGTCGGAAGGTGGAGCTCTATACTTGCCTGTATCACTTAGAGCACATAAAATCTGCAACTCCATGTAAAAACACAGAACTACTCACAAAACAAACCTGCATTTAACTCCAAGATACAATTTGTTTCATAAATACAGCAGGCCACGTCTGATAATAAATAGCTCCTCTCCTGGTATTTGGAATGATTTTCAATATGTTAAAAAAGTCACAACGGAATTTATCCTTTTTAAGGTCTCTTTTTCTTTCAAAGAATAGGTTTGCATTCTTTAAAAAAAATTGTAAGATAGCTGATACTTACAGGCATCTCTGATATACAACAACATGGCTACAAAAATGTAGTCAACTAAATTCAGGGTGATACTGTCAGCAAATAGAGCATCCCAGACAACCAGAAGATCCTGAAGAGGGAATTCACGTCCAAACAGGAGCCTTACCCATCGCCTGAAAAAAAAAAGAGGAAAGTTATGATTTGTATTTCTGCATTTTACTAAGTATGGTAAAGTCAGGACATATATCCCAGGATCAGCTACAGTCCTAAACATTTTATCAGAAAATTCTGCAAAGCATCAAGATCTGCGATAAAGACTTAACTAATTGTATTGGTGGAAATGTTACTGCATCTACATCAAAGAAATTGTACATTAGAGACTGCAGAAGCTTCACTGACCAATATTATTATGTGGTGACCCTCAAAGGACAAAATACATCACTCCCATATACCACATATTTGAGCATTTAATGTGATAGTGACCTAAGATGAATAGGAGAAAGTGTTATGCAAGAATGGCCTGGAACAGCAAAACTAGGAGGGTGAACCCAGTGGTTTATGAGAAGCCCTGAAAAGCCCAGTCAAGTGAAAGCCAGTTCAGAAGCAGATGCCAAAGAGCAACTAAAATGGACCAGGTCAAAGTTACTGTGAAGGGGCTTTCTCCCTGTTATGGATGACAGTGTTTGTGACTCTATATAAAATATGCTATGGATGCTATTTTCATTAAATCTAATTGAAATTTTACCATATTTAGTGATAATCTTCATGTAGAGTATACTGTTAATTCCTGTTAATCTCTGGGCTGTTTTCCTACCTAGCAAAATGTGAAAATTTGTTATATTAAATGCAATATTTGCTTGAGGCTGGAAGCTTGAGATGCAGAAGTAGAAAACTGTTTCTCTCGATTTCTCATTTCTAGTTCTGACTCTTACACTGACTTACTTGCTGACCTCAGGAAAGGCACTCCTCTTCCCTATTCCAGAATAGAGCTACTAGCTTTGTATCTTTTTAGGTAGGATTATCTAAGGTCACATTTGAATGAGCTAAAGAATAGTTAGTAACATTAATCCTGAAATAGTTATTACGAAATGGACTTAAAAATAATGAATTACATTTTTAGCTGGGATATGCAAATAGCTACGCATGTGGAATCTGTTTATTCAGTGGCAAGAAAAGATTGATTGCAAATTTCTGCTAAGCAAATTAAGTCATTCTTTAAAACTCACAAAAATTTCTAAAAAGGCAACTAGAAATTTCTTGTTCGAGATTAGTTTCACTTGTGAGAATTCATGTTTAACCACTTTTGTTCCAGAAATCATTGGTTTAAGGCATCCAGGATTTTGTTATTGGCCTTTTTTTTCTGATTCCAGTATAAAGAAAATACTGGACAAATTAATTCCAGCATGCCAGTCTAGCACAAGCTTTGAAGATAGTAACGATCTGCACAAAAAGACAGTCTCTTATAAAAGACATTCAAAGGGACTGTTGTGAGTGAAGGTCGTGTTCACAAAACTTTTATTTCCCATGCCACTGGAACCATATGTACAATCCATAAAAATATCCACGTACAGATTTAGAGATCACTACATAGAATCTTTTCCTTCCAAGATATGTCCCCTTTTAAAAGTGAAAATACATGATTTCAAAAGACACCACCATTTCACTCTCATATCAAACATTTATGTTCTATGGTCTGGTAACTTTTTATGTTAGTACAGTAATTACAGAACTCCCAATATTAGCTACAACAAAACAAAAACTCTGTATTTCCGTCTCTGATCAAGCCCCTTTCCTATTTTGGTTCATTTTGAGAACTCAGAAAAAGAAATCAGAACTGTTACACAAAAGCAAGGCTTAGCTGGTGCATTTAATACCACGTCTCTTCTACCTAAGGGGTTTTCCCATAGTGGCACACTACCCTGCAGTGCCCAGCCTACAGGAGACGATCACCCTATGGTGACACAAACATTACTCAGACTCTGCATGAAGCCCATTACCTGCAGTAGGAACTCCTCCCACCTGTAAAACCACAACTTTCCAGTTACACAAACTGTTAGGCAAGAAATCTCAGCAAAGCTTGAATTATTTGAGCTGACTTTGCTTGCAACTACCCAAGTCTCATTCAAAACCCTTGCTAAGAGTCTAATACACTCCAAGAGAAAAAAATACACCATGGTGTAATGGGATTTGTTATTAGTCCTTTATTAGAAATCTCTTTTGCTTCTTTACTACTTCATTATGCAGTGTTAATCGTTTGTAGATGCAGGTTTATTCTGCTCGAGCAGAAGTCATTCCTTTTTTTTCTCCCGCTTTTATATTTTCTCCTGGGAAAATTAAATCTCATTCCCCAGAGGTATCACGTTTCACAGATGTAGACTGCTGAAGAACAACTGGACTTCCTTTTGCAACCATAATATTGCTGTTAATTATTTGAACCTTCCTGTCTTAAAAAGAGTAAGCAATTCATACTGTTGTAAATGCATATATACTAAATGCTCTCTTATTTTTTTCAGCAATGTTTAGCTCACAGCATCTATAAACTGAGGGCCCTATTGCCTATGAACCATGCTGCCATATGGCAGGACTTCACTCAGCTTTTATATTCATAAAAAAAGATCTTAATTCCTTAACTAAGTGTCCACACTGAAAAGCTGTCTTTCAAACTAACACATTTTTATTGCTTTTACAAGTATTTGCAGAGAATTTAAGACACCCTTAATAATTGCATTGCACATGATAAACCTTTTCTTTTTGTTTCCTCCCCCCCTTTTTTTTTGTTGAGATGGCTGTCTGTGTTTTAATTATTGTTCTGTCCTGTTAATCTTGCCTTACATCTGTTACACCTGCAGACTGTGAAACTCACAATAGTATACCTTTTATCACATGTGGTAATACAATAATTCATATTTTACCAGGCACACTTAGCAATTAAAATCTACAAAAAACCCCCAGATTCTTTAAAACCATAATACACCAAGGTACTACTACCTACATTGTAGAATATGTAACTGTATCTTCCATTTATGATTCCTATATAATTAAACCAATATTCTCAAGAGATCAGTAATTACTAGCCATAGATAATGATTCATTAATGACCTTAAAATATAGGGAAAGCAGGAGAAAACTCTGTGTTAGTAAAGCCATTAAAGAAGGCAATGATCCAGCTTTACCAGTTTTAACTAACACCAAAACCATTCTGATAAGAGATTTACAGGACAATTCCCCAGCCATCAAAATTTAAACTTCTATTACATGTTCCATATATTCAATTGCTTATCTTCTCAGTCTTCTTGTGAGGAATTCTTTTTAGAAAAATTAAATAAGCCAAGAAATAGTTACAAATGAGGCAAAACAAACAGTTTAGGAATGTTTATGAGGCCAAAACAACACAAAGAAATCGGAAAGAATAACAAAAATTGTAACAACAGGAAACAGGAAAGCATCACTCTGAAGCGAAATGCCTTGATCTAGGAGTCACAAGTTGACAACAAGATGCCTAAAAAAATCTATTGTTAGGAACATGTTTTCAGTCATTTATACATTTGCTAAACTCAATGTTCAGTACAATTTCCACTCCAAGCATCTGCTCAAGGCTTGATTTTTTTTTCATTCATTGATACTATTCATTAGAATAAGGCTAAAAAAATTTTGCTCGTGCTTAACTTAGTTTTTTCTGCAAGCATTTCACTAAGGTCTAGAATCGAAACAACAAGGTCTTGGGAATCTTCCTTTTTACTGTGCATACAAAAAAAAAGAGAAGCCCAAATCTGGTAATTCCTTGTTTGACCTAAACACAGCAGAGTGAAGATTTCCACAGAGCATGTTCTGTTTCTTTCTAACTCTTGCCATCAGCCCAAGAATGCATCTGCCACCCTGTGCTTCATCCCAGCTACACATTCTACATTCCCTGCATGGGAAATGGTAGAAGTGTGTATCATCCCCTGCGATGGCTACTGTCACTTGGGGCATGTGGTGGCAGAGGGTGCTGCTGCTCTGGTCTCCTGTGTTTGCAAGACTAGTCAAGGTCTTCCAGAGAAAGGAGGGTCAGTAGGATTTTGCAGGATATAATTTCATTTTCAGTGCAAGTTTTGCTGCCTTTTTTGTTGTTTTTAATAAGAAAATTATTTAAATGGACTTTAAGTATCGAAAAGAACACCATCTTATCAAAACTAAGCACTCGGAAGCTGAGAAATGCCAAAATTAACATCAGTTGTTTACTAACTGAGAAAATGATATGTAAGCTCTGTCTCTTTAAACTCTGTCATGAATTATGTTCAAGCAAACATTTGTAGCCAGTGCAATTTACTATGTAAAGTCATGGTCAATAATTTAGGAGAAAGGGTAGACAGACTTGAGCTGTGATCTGCCTGTTCAAAAATAAGATATGGAAAAAGGATGAGGAGCGACATTTGTATAACACTTGCAAAAGAACTTCAAATTATACAGAAAATGAAGACTTTAGAAGTTCAATGCCACCAGAAAGCACTACTCTGGGCAGACTTGGTGCCTGCACTAGGATTTCAGGCTGTATTTGTAACCTATGGACATGACTGGGCTGCAGATGAGGTGGGCTGGGTATCTCCTGCAGAGGCACCCCGGGGTAACATGGGGGGCTCCTGCAGCAGCGCTCATCAACACTTGCATGGATGAGAAGGAAATACACAGCAAAAGCACCCTCAATAAAAGACATTTGATTCCAGAAACTCTCACAGATTTGATACTTGCAAAAGGCAGAGGGGAGACAGGTAAGTTCAATCAGAGGGTGCTTATGGTACTTCACTTTCTTTTAAAAAATGACATGAAGGAGACCAATCAAGACAAGCCTTAGTAGCATTCCAGCTTAGACCTGTTACACAGCCCTCTTCTCCAGTGGTCCATCTCCTTCCTTAATAAATCTCATTTTTATTAAAACCACCATGGCAATATTCGGTTCGGGATTTTGTTCCGAATGTCCTAAATAGATTAACAAAACCTTCAAATCATACAAGACAGAGAAGGAAACATGCCTGAAGTATAATCACAACTTGTTCTTTCAGCTACTCTTCTACAAGGCTTTTGTGGAAGGGCAGTACTGCTTATGGTGCATGAGGAACTCTTAATGATCACAGATGAGAAGAAAGGCAAAACAGCTAAGTGTCACAATTAACAAAATGGCATTTCTAAGATAAAC